GATTTGGAAGGGGTGGGGGTCGAGGATCCCTGGGCCGGTGGTCAATCCCCTGACCCAACTCGGGCCCCGGGGATCCCCGGGTGACAACCCTCGTTGGAGTTGCTTTGAAGAAGGTTTTCAGGTAGCCTGCTGAAGGTGCTTGCCACTTCGTGCACCATCCGTGCATGTGTGTGAAGGTGGATGTTGGCGCTCCTGTGACCCTGTGGTGGATGAAAGGTGTGCCATTGACATGTCTGGTAGGGAGACAACGAAACACGCTTGGTCTTTTAGGTGCTTGCCACGCGCAAAACCGATTTTTTTACCACCATCGCTCATCCTGTAATGCGGTTCTTCGTTTCTTCTCCATGTGTAAACCTTGGCATATTGTGTGCATGTGCAGGGTGATAAAGGTGTGGGGATACACGTTTATTGTTGCGGGGTGGCAACAGCAGCAGAGTAGCAGCAAAGGACGTCTTCCTTGGTGTGAGTGGCGGTAGCAGGAGGAGTGGCGAGGGCGTGCGGATCATATGGGGCTTCACGAATGGAGGCGTTAAGTTGGGTGTGGGGAAGGGATTGACTCCGTTGGAGAGAACTGCCATTGTGGTAGCAGTATCAGCAGTCGTCATTCGTTGTCATGAGGAAAGGGCATTGGGTCACATGAAGTTGAAACTTTCCACGCGCAGGCAGAGGTTGCTCATGAAGCAAATTGTGGAGGCCCCAAATTGTGCACGCTTCGGAGGTCGTCATACAATTTTGCTCTGCCATGCAGTCCGATGTATTTCTGTGAGCGAAGCCAAGATGGTGGATGAAACGAAGGAGGGGAGGAACGTGGAAGGATCTCCGATTGTGGGACGATGAGACCAACAAATACAAGAAAGAGAAGTTGCACTTGTAGAGGAGAGTTCTGGGAGATCATAGAGGCATTGGCCCTCGTTTACAGCGAAAAGTTATATTTTACAGGGTGTCGTTGACAGCGGAGCACATTGTCACCTGGCCGTTGTATTGTTCAGCGAGCGGAGAAACGTACGACAACAACACGTCTTCCTTCAGGATTGCCGGAGTTTTGGGGTCGGTCGCTATTGAGGACGTCACTGCAGTGTTATTGAAGGTTGTCGCACTTCTTGCCGATGTCGTATGTGTCCCTCTTCATCCCCATCTACACCAAATGATTCTTGAAGTTATCCAGCGGATTCCAGCCTTCACTCTTTGTTCCTCGTTCGCTCGTAGTTATGGGGCATCCCCATAAAATGCGCATCCTTATCCCGCTTGCAATGGGCAAGGTAGATGAGTTTTTCCACAGTCTCTTTGGCCATCGCTTGGGGCATTGTCAGCGGCCAAAGCCTTACCTCGAGGAGCAGGCCGTCGAACAACATTTTGCCTCCATCCCTCGCCACCCCTGTCCTTGTCACGCATCGGATGAATATCCAACTCTTCCTGTTCATTGGCAACCTTGTTGGCTTCAATGTGCGGGGAGTATGCACACACCGGTTGCCTCCAGTCCGTGTCAACTTCTCTCCCCCCATGCATTTTGGACACCAGCCTGGCGTAGTTTTTCGCGGTATGCTTCGCACGCTTGCCTGCCACCGCCTTTTGTTGTGCCGCATGTTGTCTTCATTGCATCCCTTGCATGCTGTTGCGATAATTCTCTTGACACGGAACTGTTATCGTCCTCTTGTCAGCCGCCGACCCCATGGCGAATCCTCTATGAGACGATGAAACAAATTTATTCATGTCGCCTTTCTGGCGAGACAAGCTTTCATGGAGGCCCCGCCTTTTTTTTCTTTTTTTTTTGAAAATGGGGCCCAGTGCCCAAGGCTCATATTAACATATGTAATACAACACAGAACACGCCTCTTCCCGTTAGGGCTGGAAGAGTCTTCGCCAGTGCTCCCGTAGAGACAACTTCCCTGCTATAACTGCTAGTCCTATCATCTTTTAAGAGTTGTAAATTTTAGCTAGATCCGCCTCTTCAGCCCTTCATTGGGCCGCCTGTTGCTGTCCATAACACATGGTAGTCTAGCTACTCCCTTGAACACATCACCGTTCCCTGTTTTTTCAATACTTTCCCTTTTTTTAACCATTGTACATTTTCATCACTCTCCCCCATACCATGCCTTGCTGACTATTGCAGGGGGAGGAAAGGAGTCTGGGAACAAGTCACTTGGCCGCATTAGAGTTACGCCATCTAGCTTGATCCAATTATTGAAGAGGAGTTTGTAGTCTCTACTTATCTCCTTGTTGTCCAGCACCCCCTTCTGCCCCTCTTTTTCCTTTTTCCATTCCACTTTCCCCAAACTCCCCCCCGGTTTCCCCCCCGAGCTATTCTTTGCAGAATAATTATATTTTTTGCTTTATTTCATTCTGAGTATGAATGTATTTGATTTGCGTTTTGACTTTCTCCCACCGTGTTGTTAAATTTATTTGGATCTGTTGTTGTATGCTCTCCGTAAATTCTGGTTCTTCCAACCTCACACTCTCCATTTCATAGGTGCAGCGACGCATCCATAGTGCCCACAGCACTGCCCTACATCCTTGCTTGAACATGCTGAAAGTGAAGTCGTCAGGCTGTTCCGAGGGCCATTTTTCAAACAGCAAGGCTTTACAGTCCCATGGCCAGGGTGACCCTGTTCCGAGCTGGTCCTAGACTCTATCCCACCACCGCCAAAGCCAAACCGCGCCAGGACATTGAAGAAAAATATGCTCTATTGTTTCTGGTCTTTTCCTCAATGGAAATGCGTTCGAGCATAGATGACACTAGCGGAGGATGAGTCCTTTCTGTTCCAAGTTGGTCCTATCTATCAACCAGGTATTGGTGGGTAGGCACCTGTGTTCTATTTGTCATTGCGAAGAGGCCGAATTGGCAGGTTTCCTTTTAGTTAATTGGAACCATTTAACATTTCTCAGTGATTCTTTGCTAATATTCAACTGTTCCATCCATCTCGCGTCCACCCGGTCCCGTAGATTAATTTTTGGCCGGAGCAGTCGGTATGTTGCTTTAACAGTAATGTTATATAACGTTTTTTGTATTGGTTTTGCCCCCACCCCTTATATTCGTCCATACCCACTCCAGAGGGTCCAGGGACAGTTGAGTTATCGGCATATCTGGGGAGAATGTCACCCATCTGTCCTTCACCCTCAAAACTCTGATTCTTGAGAGTTCGTCCTTTTTGACGAATTGTATCTGTTCAGGATTGGTTCTTTGGAGTGAGTTGTCCTTACCTATTGTAAATGTATCTACCACTAACGGCCCGTTTGGGTAACAACACACCACATTGCCCACCTCCCCCTGACGGCCCTGAGTTAATACTCAGTCGGATTCTTGTATTGAGGGCCCCTTTCTCAGAATTTCCCACCAGTTCAAG